GTTGTCAATGGCGACGAAAATCAGCTCAGGCGTGTCGAGGAGGAAACTATATTCCGCTTGGAACTAAAGAACCCCATGGTATTAACAAACAGTTCAACTCATTTGTTGAGCTCACTACTAAGGCGCGTTATTTGTTCTATTGTGGAATTTTTTGTGATTCTAACTTATAGTTCATGCGCGTTCTTACGTTCCTATGTTCTACCTGTACGTTATCACACTTGCTTCTATGCTATCGATAAAGAGCCATTGCTCGAAACGTCTAGCTATTTTTAATAGTTATTTAGGACTACGATTACCTAATATTATCTTCAATATATCATATAGCAATCCAAGTACACACACACATGTCAATCTATAAGTTTTTCGTACTGTGTCCAAACAGGGACTAAAAAAATGTAGTGAGTTTACATTGTGAAAAGTGACTTTCAAAAGGTTAAAGTAAATTGTAATGTGCTTATTTTATTGCATCATATTCACATACCTTTCTGTTTCACTAAATCTTGAGGTAGTTCACCTTGACTAGCAGCATCATCCATATCAGAATCTTCATCTGTTGTCATGGTAATGGTATCACTAGTTACAATATCATCCTTGTCATCCTGATAGCCATTCAATCTCTGTAAACGATCTCTTTCATTTTTCATCAGTTTTTGTTTGGCATTTAATTGTGCTTTCTTCCGCGATATTTCGTTGTACGCCTCTTCCATCATATCCAGACCAATGTCGTCCTCCACATCTGGATCCATGAACCCGTTCATGTATAAATTTGGTGGTGGGCTCATTCCATTTTGTACTGGACTCACACTGTGTGCATACGGGTCAACTGATTCTAGGGCTTGAACTTTCCCTGGGGTATAGCCATTCTGGTTAGCATGTGATGGTTGCATTTCTGACTTCTGTGACAGAAAGTAACCCCTTCGAGGCATTCCAGCAATGTCCCAACTGTTGTGACTGGATCCATTGCTGCTAATACCAGAATCAGCATAGTGAATATTTTTTCTATTATGTTTACTAGTCCTGGATGATGAGGTAGGATGATGCAATAGTTGTAGCATCTGCTGATGATTGGTGGGTGCAGATATGCTATGCAAATCAGGGGTGGAATGAACAGCTGTGATTGGATAAGAAGGCTGTTGGAAGATTCCATGAACATGCTGAGGGGTGATACCTACTGTATGTCGCCGGTTTGTGGTGGTAGTGGCATATTGAGGGGCAGTCTGTACAGCGTTGGTATTTGGAGCAAACTGTAACTGTGGTCGCATGCTTTGAAACTGCTGTGGTGTTATTCCTACCGTGTGTCGGCGGTTTGGCAGTGAAGTGGCTGGCAGGCTCTGGGCAGTAATTGGCCTAAGATGAAAATATGAATGATACACCAATGACAATGATAAGAAATACCCAAATCACCATGACAATATGCAAATCAATGAGTTGTGATGCATTGTGTAGTTTTGAGACACTTGCAACATAGTCCAGTTATAGAGCACTGGGTGCTAGGATGACCAGTGTTGGTTCTATTAGAAGTGCATCCCCAAAATAGGTGCATGAGAGTCAACAAATAATGATGAAGAGATTTTAAGAACACGAAACACACACTTCTTCAATTATCATAATAAATTGTGCTTCTAATAGGGAAAATATGGTCCATGTTTTCAGATTTATTTCAATTGAATAATATTTTTTTAATACATCAGCATTTAAGTCAATTCTACTAAACAGCCAAGAGAATGCACATGTGCAAAACACAATGCTCCTATGAACAAGTCATTGTCAATGACACGTCCCCGTTCCGTTCATATTTGAGTGACATATACATTCAAAGCAGATCATGACCGAAATGCACCTGCATATGTACAACACATTGTGCTAAATCTGAACAAAATCCATCCATGCATGACTGAGATCCGGTTCTGGAATTGTGAAAATATGTGATTTTGATGCATTTTCGGCCTTAAAATGGCCATCATTCCGCTATTGTTAAGCAGATCATGAAACAAATGCACATATCTATTTGTGACATGATGTACCATGTGTGTGTGAAGTTTGAACTTGATCAATCCAGACATGTCTTGGATACGGATCCAGAACTGAATTCTTTAACAAAATGGCCGCCAGTCGGCCATTTCGAATTTGATCCGGGAAAAAAAAAAGACGTGCATCAAGGTCCTATTATGTTTAATGTATGTACCAAATTTGAACAAAATCCATCCATGCATAACTGAGATACGGGTCCGGAATGGTGAAAATGTGCGATTTCAATGCATTTTCGGCCTTAAAGCGGCCCCC